CGAACGAGAAAATGGCAAGTTGTTCGCTTTTTATAGCCTTTACAGAATTAAAAACACAGCGAAAAAACTCGCAGGTTAGCAAATGAATTTTTAAAATTTAGAATGGTTAAAAATATATGTTTTTGAAAAAAATACTTGGCCGAAAGAGTTTTTTATAAAAACATAAAAATTAATAGAAAAATATTGAAAATATCCGAAAAGCAAAGTCTGTGAATTCAGACCTTGTGTATATAATAAAACTCACTCTTGTCGAATACGAGCGATATCAGCTCATATTCGACTCGATTTCGTTGAATAACTGTTAAATGTCCTATATTCTTACATCACTTAATTGATTTAACGTAGGAAAAATATTATTTTTCCAACGTTAAATCAATTAAGTGATGTAAGAATATAGGACATTTTTAACTGTTAAAACAGTTATATTCAACGAACTCGAGTCGAATATGAGCTGATATCGCTCGTATTCGACAAGAGTGAGTTTAATTATATACACAAGGTCTGAATTCACAGACTTTGCTTTTCGGATATTTTCAATATTTTTCTATTAATTTTTATGTTTTTATAAAAAAACTCTTTCGGCCAAGTATTTTTTTCAAAAACATATATTTTTAACCATTCTAAATTTTAAAAATTCATTTGCTAACCTGCGAGTTTTTTCGCTGTGTTTTTAATCCTGTAAAGGCTATAAAAAGCGAACAACTTGCCATTTTCTCGTTCGCAAAATGTCGGAAATTCAGTTTGAGCCGCCATTTTGTTTAGTACCTCATGTCCAGACCTTGTGTATATAATAAATTTGTATATACTTCTAACAAGATTTTATCCGAACTCGAACTGAGTAAAAAAAACGGAATTGCTCTTTTGAAATTCTATTTTGGTAAAATATTAAGCTTGCATAATAAACAGTCAAGTATTTTGCACAAACAATAAAACACTTCAGCTAGCAAAGCCCTCCGGCACCATTTAGTAGTAAATTTCTTGGATTTAAATTCGAAAATAAGAAAAATTTACTGCTTTAAATCCGAATGCAATAAAAATTGAAGCAAATAACGATCTTTCATTACAGTTTATATTTACTGCCTAACTAAATGTAATTTGCATTAAAAACACAGAAAGTTCGAGGTTGTTGTGCAGAATCTAAATAAAAAGCACAAAATGTTTTTATCAATCCTTTTTATACATCCTTAGATTAGTAGATTGGAATAGAAGCTTTAGGTTTTTAGTGCTGGACTTAGGAGATCAAAGCTATTTTCTGAGGGTCAGTTTGTCGTGATTTTAAGAAGGCCGTAAAACGAGTATCATTGCGTATTTTTTCCTCCCCCCGCATTTCTCTCAACATTCAAAATTTCGCTTGAATTTTGCACTTAAATGAATGAACAAGACTGAGAAAAAAGATCATGGTGCAAAGTTCTATATTCTGTGAGCTGTAATGCCCTAAATATGTGTAATTCTCAGTCGACGAAAAGTGCAAATTCAGCGAACATGGTCGCCTGGAGCTAAAGCGCTGTAAAAAAATTATTTTTATGAAAATTGAAAAACCAAAGTCAGTTTCATAACTCACTGGTATGTGCTATTTCACGGTAAAAGTTTGGGAGAAAACTATTTTCTGATCCGAAATGCAGTGGACCGCTTTTACAGAGACTGCCTCTTAATAATTGGTTCAGTGTAAAGATCAATATTAATTTTATAATTAAAATATTAATACCAAATAACAGTCACAATGTCAAGACAGCAATGTCCCAACAATCCGGCTCATTACTTGCTCAGTTCCAGCAGACCATACAGCAGGCACGAAATTTGGCATTGGGGGGGGGGTTATTGAGCTTTTTGTTTTTATAACAAGGGGGTCAAGAGTTTTCTATTTGGTTTATGAAAGATATTACCAACCCACCCCCTGCCATAAATACTATTTGGTTTATGATAGATATTACCAACCCACTCCCTGCTATAAATAATGAATGGTCCCTTATCGACACTGGCTATACGCCACTGGATAGTATAAAACTTCCATCAAGTCTGTACCAAAGAGTAAGGATTATTGAAGAAAACTTACCCAGCAATACAAGTACAATAGCACTGACAATCTTTCAAAGTGATCAGCCATAAGAACTAAAGCGATGTCAATCAGAAATATTGGCCATTAAGGCCAAGACGTTGTATACGTACTGATCACGACGCCGACGACGGGTCTCGCAACTTTCCTTCAGGTTTGCAGAAGCTAGCGTCTTGATGTTTGAGTTTCGCTGACTTTTTCCACTGCTGTTGATTCAATTGGAATACCTAAGTAAAACCGTTTTAAGTTCCTTTCTCTGCAAAAATCTTTCAAATCTTTGAAGCATCATTTGTTTGACTTTTGTCCTTGAGATTCCATTCACAGCACATTCAATGTTCTTTCAACACTTCTGACATGGCTTGTGTTACTGACACCTGACAAAAAACTGTTAACTCAAAAATCGATTCGAGAAAAAGGCAAAAACTTCAAAAATTCTTATGAATATTTCATAAACAAAACACAACGGCGCTCATATATTCAATCCGCCCGATTGGCGTGTTTGACGCTGGCTGACAGCCGTAAAAATGTCAGCGATTGCTCGGCTGCCTCAATATTTCGAAAGTCACCGAACTGTGGAATCTCATCAAAAATTCGTATATCGGCCACTCCCATAGAAATACCGCCTGCCATGCAGGCTACCACTCCCACAAACGTCTACGACCGCGCCTACACAGTTTTGCATGTTAATTTACAATTCTAATTTTGAACAGCCAATCAGGTTCTTGGTAATTGGCTGTTTAAAATTAGAATTGTAAACATGCAAAACTATGTAGGCGCGGTCGTAGACGTTTGTGGGAATGGTCGATATACGAATTTTTGATGCGATTCCACAGTTGGTGACTTTCGTAATATATTACCGTATTCTCTCTATTTAGCCCCCCCCTTCCCCCGTCTCAAATAAGCCCATCTCTCTATTAAGCCCCCCCCCCCATTAATAGAAAAATGTGCAGTTTTGGATGAAACAGACATCAACTAATTTGATTTCATTTTCGCAAGAATAACATAACGCATCGTACATGTCATGAACATCTTGAAACATATATATAGTTGAAAAATATGAACACTTGAACATCTCAAAGAGTTGTGTTAAAATTGTTAGAACTATTTTACACACATTTCTTTGTGCTGGAGGAAAATTATCATATAATTTTCTCAAGAAATAAATAAACCCCTCTCAAATAAGCCCCCCTCTCAAATTAGTCCCACCCCTTAAAAGGGCCGGGAAAGTATAAGCTCCCCGGGGGCTTAATAGAGAGAATACGGTACTGGCGCATATTTCGTGAGGGCTGTTTGGGAGACTGGTTAGTCCACAGAATTTTTTTAAATTTGGCATCTCGATTACTCAAACTATAAAAAATGTTTAACAAAATAAAAATGGGGGTCATCGATATTTTGTCCCAAGGTAAAGTACACCAACCGTATAACAATGTGCCCTCCCAATGTGCCCTCGCTTTATGGCAACTCCTCAACTTGGGCACAGGATGTACGGTTACATGTATATACCGGGTGGGGCAAAAAAAAGTGCGACTGTTTGATTTACTATGACTCAAAAACTAAAAGAGCTATTACACTTAAATAAATCACCCTATATTCCGCGATGTTTAGCTTAGATTTTGATATATGTCTGGTGCATTTTCATGCGGTTATGACTGAGATAATTGTGTTTAAACTTATGCAAACATTTTTGGAACCGCCAATAATTAGCTGAAAAGCCCCTATTAAACTAATTCGATAACCGTTACGATTTGTTCGCGATTATTGTTTCAATGAAGTGAAGTCGAAGTTATAGAAATATTTCTTCATTCACAGACTTTTTATTTTTTGTTTTACGATGTTGGGCAATGGATGTGAACTTATAAGGCCGATTTTATTAAAAGTTTTGTTCCTAGAAGGTATCCGATACCCGTGGGATAGGTAGTCTGTATGTTCTAATGAGTCTAGAACGAGCTGTCCCATTTCACGGGCAAGATGTTGCAATTGTGCCGGAGGACATGAATTTGCTGATGAATAGATGATTGCTTTTGAACAACAAGCGTTAACGTACTGACTATAGAGTATAACGCGTCTTAACAGAAGTTGTTTTTGTATATAAAGGTATTAATATTTAATATATAGGCCGTTTTTAGCTTAATTCTCTCGAAATTCGTTTCAAAAATGTTACTCTTGTTCAAATGCACGTATCTTTGTCAATATGGCATGGAAATGTGCATGGCATATATCAAAATTTAAGTTAGACATCGCTGAATGCCAGTAAACGTGTTTTATTGTCATTGCTCTTTTAGTTCTGATGTTATACTAATTCAAAGAGTCGTACTTTTTTGCCCTACCTGGTATATATACACCCGCTGTCAAAAAGGTTGACGAGTTGTCAGTTTATATTGCATATTTCGCAGCTAAGTAACAAGAAAAAAACAAGCAGAAACCGTCTAATCTGAGCAGGGTGTCTAGATTTTCTGTCTACATGCATATTATCGTGATTTTCACCAAATTAAGATATTATAATTCCGCGATACAAAACAGTCCCAATATAGTTTTTACATCAGGTTTTAGAGTAATATTTGCTCCTTTATTTTTCTAAATTTCAAGGAAATCGGAGTTTTACCGGGGACGAAAAATTAATTTTTAAAAAGAGTATCAAATTAAGAATTTTTAGAACGCAAATTAACACGATTTTTACTTACTTGCCACGACTTTGAAACATCATTTCAACGATTCCAAATGAGGCTCATATTCTTCACATTTTATAAATATGGTTGAAAACTTAAATGAGGTTTCCTGCGATGCGAATTGACCAAAGCATAGTCTGTAGCTGAGCAAAGTTTTTAGCAAATGCGCATGCTCAGATTATTATTTGCACGCACTTATTTGCAGGTAAATTAACCAATCAAAATTGAGAATACTATAAAGAACACCGCGGAAAAACGTCTGCGCATGCACCAAATTATGAAAATATGGCGGGGAATTTGAATATCAATTTCTAAAACAAAAACATGCTTATTAATTGGTCAAAAATTAGTAAAACAAACGAGAAAATATAGCAAATGGATAGACTAGACATTAATTGAAAGCGTCCTGGCATTTAAAGTATGGAATGAAATATAATTCATGTAAAAAATTGTTGATTTTAACGGACACGACTTCGAAAATATTTGCAAAATTATTCAAAACAAAAATTCAAACTAAAAAGTTAAGAAAACTCTCGAAAAGTTAAGCTTCTTAACCCACTCAAATTGTGGAATAAATCCTAAAGTTTAATTATTGCGAACACGCAAATTTTTTATATTTGGCGACACAGTTTTTTTTAAAGAAATGTATCTCAAAAGAAAATTCGGAAATTGTCATTGCTTAGTTGATAAACAAAATGTTTCAGACGATAAATTTGTCAACAATCACCTTTAGTTCATGCTCTTGTACAATACAATTTCTTGAACCTTCTGGCTGTATTTATTTCTAGTTTTTAGAATGACATGTTTATTTTTGCGCTTGAAATCTGGCTGTAAAGACGCACAATGAAGTCACTCCTTTTTACCGCCATTTTGAGCCTTCGGAAACGTTCGGAACAGCTTCTCAACAAGTTCGCAATACTATTTCAGGTAAGGTTGACGCATGCGCAGACGTTTTTCCGCGGTGTTACTATAAAGTGATTAATAATTTTTAATTTTGGGGTTTCAAACAATATTTCAGAAAACAAACCCCACCACGTTTCTAAGTATACAGTAGAGTATCAATAGAGAAAATAAGAAGAATTTTGATTTTTCATCACTAGTGTGCCACCGTTTGTTCAGTCTTAGTGGACATCTGCTCTTAACACCACTGATCTGTAATAGGGCAGATCAGTAATTAACACAGTTAATAAAGAGATACAGTTTATTTATAGTACCGCACTGCATTGTGGAGATCTTTTACCACAATGCAGTGGGCTTGGTGAATTTGAAAATCAACTCACTGCACAAATTAGGGATCTGCAATTACAATGATTTACAACTAAAGTGTTATTACACACATTATATTATGGCCTGGCCCTAATAAAGTAAAGATGGTATAGTATCGACGTCCACTGCCAGAGGCTTTAACTCTTTTCCCAACGTAACTACAGGTTTTTTCTAAAAGACTGTATCTCAACAAAAGTTTTTAATTCTTAAAACCACAATGTATTCTTTAGATCGAAAAGTAAAAGACTTCCGCGACTACGGCTTCGTGCTCGAGCGCGCAGAAAAACAACAGAAAGGGACTGGCCACCATCTCGGTACTCCCATTTGTCATTTCTGTTGGCTTTACTGAATACGCAATCGAGGTGACTAGGTACATTCATATCAACGGTCCGCAACATATTTTGGCAGTCATAGACTCATAGATACCAGACCTGGTTATTGCTGAAAGATAGGTTCAAAATTGTTACTAAATAAGAAAAACTCAATACTAAATAACACCACGCCCGATTTACAGAGAGGCAAACTCCTCAAGACAAGGTTAAGTTCCCCAAAAGTAGTCCCCAGTCGTTATAAGGTGGGTTAAAACTGCAACGCTTTAGGTAAGTGTGGTAAAAAAACATTCTAAGCTGTGCTAAACATATCTAGGTCGCCGTACCATTCTCCAAAATAGTCGTAAGTACTTACAGGCTAGTTCGGGAAAGTTTTATGTAATTGTGTAGAAAATCGTTGTAACCTGAGCTATGTACGTCCAGGACATGACCCATGGCGTACCTCAACTAATAAACGACATAGATATCCAATTATTGCATTACCAGAGACACAATCTCATCAAGGCAACGTTGTGTTTCACTAAAGTAGTCCTGAGTCGTTGTAAGGCGGGCTAAATAAGAAAAGGTTTAGGTAACTGTGCCAAAAAAAATTCTAAGCTGTGCGAAATACGCTTAGGTCAGCTTACCATTCTCTAAATAGTCGTAAGTACAAATAGGATGGATAAGTCGGGAAAGCTTTCTGAAAGTGTATTGAAAATCTTTGTAAGCTGAGCTATGGGGGTCTAAAACATCATCTATGGAGTAGCTCAAGGCTCTATCATTGGCCCCTCCTATTTTTCCAACTAATTAACAATATATACATACCGAATAATCGCATTTTCAGATAGACAAGCTTCTCAAGACAAGGTTAACTTTCTCTAAATTAGTCCCCAGTCGTAATATGGAAGGCTAAATCTACAACAGTTTAGCTAAGTCTGCCAAAAACCGTTGTAAGCTGGGCTAAATCGGTCCAGGTGGGGTACGTTTCTCTAAAATAGTCCTAAGTCCTTATAACATGGGCAGAGTCGGGTAAAAAGTGTTATGTAAGTAAGTCAAAAATCATTGTGACCTGAGCTATGTACGTCTAAGACATCACACATGGACAACCTCAAGGCTCTATCCTTGGCCATTCCTATTTCTCCAACTGGTTGACGATACAGATACCGAATTTTTGTTTTGCCAGAGAGGCACTCTCCTCAAGACAAGCTTAGGTTTTCCAGAACTAGTCCCCAGTCGTTATAAGGTGGGCTAAACCTAGCTAACAGTGTCAAAAACAATTGTAAGCTGGGCTACATGGGTCCAGGTGGGGTAAGTTTCTCTAAAATAGCCCTAAGTCCATATAAGATGGGCTAAGTCGGCAAAGTGTTGTGTCAGTGTGTGAAAAATCGTTGTAACCTGAGGTATGTACTATTAACACATGACCCATGGCGGACCTCAAGTTCTATCCATGGTCCCTGATATTTCTCCAACTAATTAACCATACAGATACCGAATTATTGCATTCCCAGAGAGACAATCTCCTCAAGACGAGGACAAGTTTCCCTAAAACAGTCCCAAGTCGT